TTAATTAAAAAAAAATTTCTTCTCTTCTGTTCTGTTCCTTCAAAAGCCAAACATGTTACATAACTTGATTTGACGCCGGGTTCCCTCATCTTCTTTTTTTTTTATATATATATATCAATAATTATTGAAAGAGAGATCCAACCATTCAAAATTTATCAAATTCCCAAGTGACGCTGAGATTCGACAAAAATTCAGCAGAGATAAATTTTAATGCTCATTCTTGAATTATAAACATAACTCATAAAAATTCAAATCAAATCAATCCAGTAAAGGTTTACCTAAGCACTGTTCTTGATTTGGCTAATTGTTCTGAAACGACTTAAAACAAAGCATATATGTTAGCACAGAGGGGCAGGGGAATGATAATTGATACAAACTATGTTTTATGCTAGCAAACCCCATACAAGGAAGAAGAATGCAACTCTCTAATCGGTACAGTCCTTGTCTGAAAGCGCTTTGTCCGGCTTAGCAAATGGAAGGTCTGAGGCCGTAGCAAGTAACTCCGATTAAATCCGGCGGGAAGAAGGTGAACGTTGGGGACTTTGGGTTGGGCTTTTGGTTTTTTGGGCCAAAGGGTTAGGTTTGTGTGAACGGTTTTTGGTTTCTCATTTTGAGCCGTCAATGTTTTTATATTTTATTTTATTGATGTGCGCCATCAATGTAAATTTAATTTTAATAAATTGCAGTATTTTTACAATTTTAAATATTACATATTTTATTTTAAAAAGTATTATGCAATTTAAAATACCAAATATGATATTAATTGCCCTCTTTATCTAATGATTATTATTTTATTTTTATAGTTTGATTCTTGCTTTCTTTTATATTACAATGACTGAACTACTATGTTTGAAAGAAAAAAATCAAACTTTTTAATCCGTTTCTTTTATTAGGAGGGATATTAAGACTTAATTGTAACAATAAATATAAAAAAATACTTTTAAACTTAATATATCAAAAATTCTTTATTGTCCTTTCCTTTATTATCCTTTAAGAGTTATTAACAGGTTGATCCAACAGTCGTTCATCCATCCATTGCTCTTCTGCAAGAAAGGTTCAGACAGTTGGAGAGAGCCAAGAAGATAGGGCAGGAGAAAGAACTCTTACGAATGTTCCTTGAATCAAGGCAGATCAATGCAGCTATGCCTTATGTGCCATACAGATCGCTTTTACACCTTGTACTCATGCTTCAGTCAGAGCTGCCTCTTCAGTGTACACTCAAAAAAGAAGCTAGTCTGCAGAGCAGGAATACCCAGGTTCAGGTCATTCAGACTCCAATGTTGGAGAATTTATGGTCCAGAGACACTGTCATATGCACAACTGACAATGATGATATTTCAGTTGTTGATACTTCACTTCATCTGTGAAAAAGTATTACAATGTTAATCTACCTAGTAATCCTGTGGTTTCCTTCCGTTTGTTCTTCATGGGGCAGTAAGAATATGGGAACGAAAAGGAGCTAAAGAAAAGAAAACAGAATATGTAATGTAGCTAATGGCCATTATCTTATGTATCTTCAGAACTACAGAGCAATCAGAAAGGCAATTCTCTTATCTCTTCTGAAATGCATTCTCATCATAGGTAATGTTATCCAATTTGTCACTGTTCCCTTTCCTCTTCATGAATTTGGGACATCTTTGGCCTCTGACATTGCTTCCCCATTGTTTATCTGCTTAAAATGAGCAGCACTAACCTTTCGGGCATTTGCAGCTAATATCTGCACTAGGGACAACATTTCACTTACATTAATCAGTAATTCAATTGTGTGCTCAAGATTTAGTATTATTAGCCTACACGGTTATCACCTGGATAATTTATTTTCCAGAAAAAAATGTTTAAACTTGAGTGTTACACAAGAACAGAGCATATAAATTATTATTATCAGTTGCTAAGTTTCTTTTAGCAAACTGAGCCACCAAATGAAGCATCTCATAGGATGAACCACATAAAAGCAGATTCCTATATGAACAAATGCATGCCCCCATAATAGCATTGATTTTAGAAAGTTATATGTGGAAGAGAGTCAAGAGACTGCATGATTGCTAGCTACATTCATTTTCTTAGTTTTTTGTATTGAAATCCATTCGGTTCTTTTACCCTACCTCAAGTCTATATATTTGATGCCTTTCCTTCAAATCTTGATAACCAGATCCATCTTCATCATGCTTATCATCATCATCTTGATTATCCCTTTTAGGACAACTTTGATGCTCTCATCAGCCCTAGGGATATATCCAAATACTTCACATACAAAACCAGATACTGTCTCATACTGATGTTCCTATAGAATAGCGTGGTGAACAAAGAACAATGAAGTAGAAATATGAAATTTAAAAGTTAAAGGAACATTTTGATAGTCATTTACAGTGTGACATTAACTGTGCCTTTACTTCAAAATGAATTGAAAACTACATTGCAATTTTAACTATTTACTTTATCCTCTCCCCTTTTTCTTTTTCATTTCTTTTTCTATCTTTTAAGCAGTGGTCACTTAATCATGAAGCATAATAATCCCACAACAGTCACAATAAACAGAATTTCACTTGCAACTGGGATCAGAAATATCAAGTATATAAGTCTGGCTATTTTTAAGATTCCTACGATCAACTACTATGTGGCAGAGAATGAAATTTTAATGAGCTTGTGGAAATGGCAGGAGAAGTGTACAATACTAGAAATAATCAAAGGTAGAAATGATCCTAATAACTGGGATTTAGCTTTAATGTTTAAATTCTCCATTCAGTGCTCTATACACCATAACAACGAAAATCAGCAATGGTATAGAATAACATACCTCTGGCATTTTGATATTCAAGTCCTCAGATGGCAAATAAATAGATGCATGGGCATGGACATCATATACTCCCTCTGCTCTCATTACAATATAGCCAGTTTTCTTTTGGATCACCTCCTGTTAATACACTTAGCAGCAAATGCATAAAATAAGAATCACTTGAGAATCATTATACATATGTATAAATGAATCACCTAAGAATCAAGTAGAGCTGAACCTTGTAATACTAATTGATATGAGACCTATAGAGTAAAGAAATATCTACATGACGTGAGAAGTGACATGAAATTCCTTGGTCACCTGGAAAATACAGAAAAAGTACATGCCAAACTAAATGAGACCAGAAACTGGCGACATAAAGCAGCATCTAGATCAATTGGTCTGTAGAAAATTAGCAGCACATGTATAAAACCAATTTGTTTCGGACTCCATCAACAAGTTTTCTTAGCATCCCCTTGCTGAGGAATAATAGAATCCAATATCTAAAGTTATCTATATAGTTAAAAGACTTGCCCCCAATAACAGATTCAGTAACAGAACATTAAGGTCATTAATGAGGTAATTAGGCTTACCTTTGAATCATTTTCATCCAAGATTTCTCCAACAATCTCCTCAACCACATCTTCTAAGGTTACTATCTGCTCCATCAAAAAATTAGTACATAAATATATAAAATCAATCAGTCAATAAAATGAGCACAAATACTGTTAAACAAGCAATCCAAAAGAGAAAAAAAACCCATGAATAATTTCTATATTCAAAAAGGATAAGTTCTCATAAAATATCTAGAGAACATTTCAGATTCTTCATTTCTTTGACCTCCCTTTTTTCACAGCATTCCTTTGGCAGAGTTGTTTTGGGTTTTTTATTAGCACCTCACTTACTTTCTTCAATACTTTCTTATAAGCATTTCAAATGCTAAAAAGTAGAGGATCCCTCCCATACTTCTTTAGACTTGTGAGAGAAAAAAGTGCTTATAAACAAGTTGAAGAATAAACTCTGCCAAACAAACAGTCATTGAGGGTCATTAGCTCCCCTGCACTTATCAGTCAAATGCATGCACTTTTGCTAAAGCCAAGGTATAACACGATAATATTTTCAAATACTTCACAAATGACCCCCTCCATGCCTCTTATCTGCGAAGATATCTTAATCACAAAGGCAGATAAGAAATGTTATAAAATTGTATCGTTTGATGAAGTATTCCATAAGTTGATCAATACAACCTCCAGTTGAACGCAAATTTTGGTTCACAAGTTAGAATTACATCATTATTTGTTTCACGAAAAATGTAAAGCTCTAAATGAACAGAAACCTTCTAAAGCTTAGCTAACTCATTGACATATAATTACATTTGACAAACAAAAAGCCCATTTTCCATAGCCTTCCCTACCCTCTACCTCGTCCTCAACTTCTCCTATTGGCATTGGCACAGGATGACTCCATGAACATACCTTCAGCCAGTTTATATTGGCATGTAATGACTCCATTAAACCTTATAAGTAATGAAAATTATGCATATAGGGATGGAAGAAATGAAGGACTTCAACTAGTCTTCAACTTTTCTTTGCAAAACATAGAAAATAAAAGCCAGAAATCAAATAGAATGTCAAATAAAATAGAGCAGGTTAGATGTCCATTATACCTGAAGTGACTCC